TGCCTCTCTCTCCCCTACACAAAACCATGCTTGTCCCAGCTCCCTTCCCCTACCCCTCCTACACTACTGCTTTCACTTGTATACTTGCCCTTCCCCCCTACCTTCTCTGCTCTCACATAGCTGTGTATATTTCCAACACAGTCTGCTTTTACCGGTTCTCACGGTCTCTTCGCTTGCAGATTTCTTATATCCTGAAGATGGAGGCGATACATTCCTCCGAAACGTCGGTTAACACCACATATACACGGCGCCAAATCCCAGAAGACTGCTTTCTTCAAAATATACTTAGTTTTCTCTGTGTTTACTTTTAGAAGAACCTCCTTACTAGCATTAGCTAAAGTTTGTGTGTTTTTCTTTATGGTATCTATATTATCACCTAGTAGATTCACATCATCAGCATAGACCAAAGGCTGTTGTGTCCAGTTTAATTTCAGTCCCACCTGGTTTACCTGGACCTTCCTAGTGGCCTACTCTAAACTAAAGTTGAAGAGGAGTGGTGATGAAGCATCTGGATAGGAAATTTATCAGACAAATGTTTACCTATATGGACTTTACTATATGTTATGTTTAAACTCATTTTAATCAGCATAACTAGTTTCATGGGTACCCCAAACTCTCTCAGATATTGTATAATACTTCCCTCCTGACTGAATCATAGACTTTCTTGAAGTGTATGAATAGCTGATGTACTCTCTCACTGTGTTCCCATTTTTTCTCCAGTATCTAATGAATGCAAGAGATCTGATCTGTGTTTTGATGTGTTACATCGAAACCCGCACTGATGATCCCCAATAATTCATGTATGTATGGACTTAACCTTGAGAGAAGAATATTGGATAACACTTTGTATGAAGTGATTACCAGTGATATCCCCTGATAATTACTACCGTCAGTTTTTATCACCCTTCTTGTGAACTGGTACAATAACAGACTCCTTCCATCAATCAGAGAACTTGTCCTTATGCCAAATAGAAGTAATTGGCTTATGGATCTTTGAACATACTATTTTACTGCCCGCTTGAATAAGTTCTGCTGGAATTTGATCACTACCTGGCGAGTTATACCTTTTCAAATTTTGCAATAGCTCTTTCAACCTCAAAAGGGCTAGGATCAGGTACTAATGGCTCACCTGTATGTATTTCTATCTGCCTAATGTCACTGACCCTATGTACATTCAATAACTGAGAGAAGTAGTTCTTCCACCTATTCAAAATGTTGTGGGAATCCCCAAGCAGATGACCATTCTTGAAATCCCTTTTGAAATCATTTATTCCTCTTTACAGGTCTCTAAGGTTCTTGTTCTTACTGTTAATTGCATATCATTCATAATTATCTTTCATTTTGATGCATAATGTCAAACTTTTATTGCCACTTTTATGGTAGCACATACTGTCAGGAACTCACAGTTTTACTAACTAACCATCTCTTGCAACTCTATGCAAAGCTTGGTCATTAAAATCACTGACTGTGGGTTGGGTGACTGGGATTCGGTTTCCAACAGGCTGGGGTTTTTCTTTTGACCACAACATAGATTTTCTCTAGGGCTCACCCAGCCTCCTATCCAGTAGGTACCAGGGGTCCTTTCGTCTGGTAAAGTGTCTGGCTATGAAGCTGAACACACCTTCATTTATGCCTTAGGTTAACTACTTCCTGTTTGTAGTTCTTTCTCAAGTTTAGTCAGAAAGTGATACATTCTTTCACTTCACTTTTGTGAACTAAATAAAGTAACATTTTGCTTGAAGCATATACATTCAAATTAATAATTAATAAAATCTAGAATACCTCTTTTCTGAGTTTGCTCACAGTAAAACTTTTTGCACAAAATTGTCAACCCATAATTACTTGAAATAATAAGGGAAGTGGTTAAAATGACTGGAGCATTTCCTTCACTCCTTTAATGTGTCCTCATGTTGTGAAGCCTGGGGGGGGCTGCTCTATTTTACTGCTGGAATTTATTCATTTTGTTATTCTTCTCTCTGTGGTTATAGTACTACTTAGGTTATAATGGGCAATTGATTGTGTTCTCCTGTGTTTTACAGTCTCCTTTGGTTCCTGGCCTGCAAGGATGGTTATATGTGAATGGTGTCCAGTGTCTTTGGACCATACTGCTGTTAGCAGGAACCATTAGTGGCATCCGATCAACGTTTATATTTATGCTTGTTGTGTTGTTTCCCACACTCACCAGTTTCGTCCTTAGTTTCTCTCACTGGGGAAATAATCGTAAGTTCTTGATGTGTTAATATGTGCTTTTTCTAATTGTCACTGAAGCCGTAGTAGTGTGTCACTGTTTATACGCAGTATTATAATGTTTAAGGCGAGAAGGCAGTTTTATGATTGTGTGGGTGTTGCAATAAATGATGTGATGCAGTAAACTGTGTTATGTATGAAACTCTGATTTGAAAGCTTGTAATTCATTTATAGCTATGTGGAAAGCATGAAGATCTAGACAGGGGATCCTTCCCCAGAAATTAAGAGGTGGGATTGAAATCAGAACAAGATTAGAAAAGTGTGCTGTATGCTGTTAACAGGCAAATTTTGCAGAAGAAATTATAAATGACATACTGATATCCATGTGTAGATATTACATACATGCACACATAAGGAGTGGGGCTAACAGCTACTATTAGTGATCTATCATGCATACTCCTCTATTTCAACCCTTCAGCAGCCCTACATTTCAAATGAAGTGCAGGATTCTGCTTACAGGAGCAGCATGGTAGTCACCTGTTTCCACAAAATAGTTGCTCAGATGACAAAATCTTAAATAAGTCTCACACTCACATAGGATGTGATTGGCTGTCCCATGTTTTTCTAGGCATCTTTTGCAAATAGGACTGTCTGTCAGTCCAATTTTGAAAAGGTGCACTGTAAGTAGTCCTACCACCCACTGTAACTGGTTTCTGTTTGAACTTAGCAGTTCCTTGGTTCTTCTGGCAGAGGGTCATTGTATGGTCATTGTATGAGTCCCTTTGCCTGTTTGAGTTCCTGTTAAGGATTACCAGGAATGCGTATAGGATATTGGTGGGAAAGCTAGAAGGAAAGAGACCACATGGAAGACCAAGGCATAGGTGGGTGGGCAATATTAGAATGGATTTTACAGAGATAGGATGCGATGGTATGGATTGGATAGATCTCACTCAGGATAGGGACCAGTGGAGGGCTCTTGTGAACATGGTAATGAACCTTCAGGTTCCATAAAATGCTGGGAAATTCTTGAGTAGCTGCACAATTGGCAGCTCCTCCAGAAGGGCTCAGCTCCATGAATAAGTAAGGATTACCAGTGTTTGTATGGTCTCAGTTTTTCCAGTCCCTGACAGATTTTTTTTTTTGGCAGCTCCTGCTGAGATGCAGCAAGCTGGTTGAGGTCCTATAAATGGCTATTTGGATCCCAATTTTGCCAGTTCATTGGCTGTTCTGTTACCAACAATACACTTGTGATCTGACACCCATAGCAGTTGAGCTGTGTTATGTTTGGCAGTTTCTTGATTATGTGGGTCTTGCAATAGATGATGCGAGGCATTAAACTGAATTTTTTTGAAACTCTGATCTGAAAGCTTGTAATTAATTCACTTCTTGATATATTTTAGTAATTTATAGTTACGTGGAAAGCAGAAAGATCTAGATATGGGGCCGTTCTTCAGAGATTAAGAAGTTGAATTGAAATCAAAACAAGATTAGAAAAGTATGCTGTGTACTCTAACAGGCAAATTTTGCAGAAGAAATTATAAATGACATGCTGATATCCATGTGTAGATATTTATCACAGTAAGCTAAAATATATTAAGTGTTTGTTTAGATAAACTTAAAAAAAATATGTATGCCCTATTGTAAAATTGTATTTTAATTAAATAATGTAACGTGTTTTGACATTGAAGACGCCATTCAGATTGTTAATGGGTTTATTCAACAACCTACAAATTGTAACTGCAATTAATTATAACACTGTTGCACGTTTAGACAATTTACAAACCCCACACAATAATTTCTTCACACTGTCTTCAATATTCTTCTCTTATTCACAGTACAACATGGGAGCTATACAAGTGTCACCGTATTACACACTCCCAGTACCTCCTCACACTATTGCCTCTACCCACACGTTCCGGTCTTCTTCACGTTCACGATTCACTTGCTACAACTGAACTTGGCAACTGCTACAATTCAACTGACTGCTTAGGCATTCCAGTTCTCTTATAAACCCTCAGCCGGACAGCGGAAAATGTGCCTCATTTCCCTGTTGTGTAATTGCTGTGTTTACAGCTGTTGCTGGGCAACGCTGTCGAGAGTTGTTTATTGCAGTGTAGTAGCCACGGTATCCCCTGTTACGTCACTGTGGGAAGTACTGTTATGTCACCACGGCAATGGTTGCTTGACACAGTTGCTCTTCTCTTACGTCACCACGGGGATGGGGGTGTTTACCGAGCATTGCGTAATGATGGAAGGGGTGGGGGTATGTGACGTCACTCGCGAGACTGCAGAGCTCACATGACCCCTACTTCCTGTTGCACCATCCACGTCACAGTATGTATGTACACACAGACTTATAGGTTCAGGTGGGAGGAAGCTTCATATAGTTGTTACAGAAAATAGAGGTTTTAGTGTGGGTATGTGTGTGGGGAACCACTGTTGATTGTTCAGTAATTTTTGCATGTGTTTAGAAAACCACTGTTGATTGTTGAAAATACAATTTAGGAAATATGTGCATAGCATAATTCTTGTTTAATTCACCCCATAAACTGTAAGACTTACAGAAAATATATTAAGTGCACAATATGTGTTCTAGTTTTCTTTACAACTTTTGTCTGAAACATTTCTTGTGCCAGTAATATTTACTGAGTTATGTTTGACATAAACACAGAAATTCATGTAGGTGTTCATGTAGAGGGTCCATTACTTCCATCTGATTTTAACCAAAATTTGGAATATAGTGACATGTTTTATTAAAAGTCTTTAATATCAAATTTCTTGAGAATCTGTATAGCTGTTCTCATGTTTCATGTTTATGGACAGATGACTGGAGCAGTTTTAATAGGTGATCTGCAGGGTTCTAAATGCCCCTGAAAATATTTAAAATGTGTTATTTTTAGTCAGTGATATGTAGTATACATAGTATTTTCACATAAATTTTGTGCTGTATCAGAAGATATATTTGAATACTGATAGTTAACTTTGCAAGCCCAGTACCTGTCTGCGTCATATCTCAAGCAGCTAGTCGCTGGCTTCCCACCGTGGCAGTCCGGGTTTGATCCCGGGTCTTGTCAAGTGGGATTTGTGGTGGACAAAGTGGCGCTGGGGCAGGTTCCCCCCCCCCCCGAGTACTTTGGTTTCCCCT